GCCGCTGCTTTATGGAACAGACTTCCAAGAGTATGCTTCTCCAACCACTATTGTCTTAACTTCTCCAGACTAACCATTATCTGCCCTACATATCATCATAATCTGCACTTCTTACTCCCACTTCTCTTGCATTCATAAAATAACTTCATACAGTTCCCCTCTATCTTGAGTGGCTCTTTGGCTTTGTTTGGATAAACAATAGTGAAAAGAAAATATTGTTCAGACCATTAAGCATTTTTTTCTGCTATATTCTTATATTTTTTCAATCATTAATATGGTCTCCATGCAATCTCAATTGACTATGGCTTACCAGCACTTTTTTTTTATATTCAGCTATTTATACATACTGGCTTAAAGGTTACAAAAAGGCAACTCTTAAACTCTTTGGAAAATCACTTCCCATTTACTAAAAATAGACTTGATGCTGCATCTTGCCTAGAACTGCCCAACCCTCTTTTTTTCCAAGTTTTGAAAGAGTTCAAAAGCATCTATGCGACTTTGTGGGTGATGAATTATTTTCTATCTTACAACCCCTTTACCAAAGACAAAACATTGCAAGTATCTTGCTACTTTATTGCTGTTTCTGCCATGCTACATTGCTTTGTTCAACAAGTCCTGACCCTTGCAGGTAAAACCTACCATGCCATATCCTCATTGCCTTCATATTTCATTGGTAAGAAGAAAGTTCTATTTAGAGAGTTTCCTCCCAAGAGCCACTGCTTTGAGGAAAAGACTCCCAAGAGGATGCTTTTCTGATCACTACAATCTTAACCTCCTCAAGACTAGGGTCAGCTATTACCTATTCTCATAATCTGCACTTCTTATCCCCTCTTTTTATATCCATAACATATTCTCATTCATTAATTTTCTACTTTGAGTGGCTCTTGGACCTTGTATTGATTCAGCAATAGTATAAAAAAAATTGCAAATAAATAAGAGGAGACTACTTTGTAATTGGTCAAACTCCAACTCTATTTGAAATTAAAAGTTACCTTTGCTGAAACTTTGCCGAACAAGTTACCTTTGCTGAAACTTTGCCGAACAAGTTACCTTTGCTGAAACTTTGCCGAACAAGTTACCTTTGCTGAAACTTTGCCGAACAAGTTACCTTTGCTGAAACTTTGCCGAACAAGTTAGTAAATATTTAGTGTTGAATGATTTTTAACAGACATTTTTATAGTTTAAAAAAACATAGAAATACTTCCCAGTGAAAATGGAAAGGAAAAGAAGGAAAAAAAATTAATAAAAATAAAAAAATATATATATTTTTACATAAAATAATGACAGCCATCAAATAATGTTTATTTTGTAAAAGATTTTATTATGTTAAAAAATATATAATAAACTAGCAGTATAACCTGTCTTTGACTGGGTCTTTCATTACTGGGGATTTTTGCCATTCAGTTGGAGCAGTTTAAGTTTAAAGTCAGCCCACTCTAAAATCAATATTAGTAACAATATTTGGGGGCAACTGAGGCACATTCCCCAAATGGGGGTTTAACAATTTGGATGGGGGGGCTCTGAAAAGGGAACTGTATAATAAATAATAATATTGTAATAATTTAAATTATTTATTTTTATTAAAGTTTTTATGAAAGATATATATCCAAGAACAAATAGTAGATAGTAAAACGTTGCTGAGATTTATAATGGACAGGAAGTAGTGGAGAGCCATTGTCGCTAACAATTTGGACTCAAAACTGGCACTGAAGAATTATCTATCAACCAAAAAAAATTTCATTGAAATCAGATGAAAACTGTGGAAATGCATAAACAACATCCGATCACTCACAAATACACACACACATTTTGAGAATTATAGAGATAGATTATTATTATTTTTGATGTATACTCATTTCTTTCTGGGTCTCTTGACATTTTCCCCTGAGCATTTTTCAAGGAAAAAAAAAAACCAAATAAAGCACCTAAGATCACACATATTTTACATAGATAAAGCCCTTCATAAAGGTGTGGGCAGTACTTGTGAGTACAACATTTTGTATTTCTTTAAGACATGGGCTACCAGGAATCTCTTCAATAAATCTATTGCAATCTTTTCCAATCAATCCAAGGGTTCCACCTACAACTGGAGCTGTTGATGTCCTCGTGTGCCACATTTTTGAGATATCGATTTCAAGGTCATTGTATTTTGATAGTTTTCTGAAGATCTTCAAAGATACATTACAATATGTAGGGACTGTCATATCAACAAGGAGGTACTTTTTGTGTTTGCAGTCTCTAATCACGATGTCTGGGTGATTAGTTTTGATTGATCTGTGTGTATTGTAAAGTCCCATAAAATTGTTACAGGTCCTATATTATCATTATTATTTGCAAATAAGTAAATAAGGGAAAGTTCTTTTTATCTGTAATTTTTTTCTGAATATCAACAAACTTTTCCAAACATATTTGGCCTAAAACCATCAATATACATCAACAGAGATCTTTTAGGAACTGTAGGTTACCGTTCTTGACTTCACCAAAAGTCCATTAGCTAATGCTGTTTAAGTCTATAAAAAAAAAAAATCATTTCTTTACGCTTCCTCTTTCTTCCTCTTGTTCCAAGATCTAACAGATGTAGATGAGGACATCTCCACTGGGGAATGATATCTTTTTTTCCTGGTCCGCTAACAACTGAACCCTCATGCATGCATACACCCTTACACACACGTGTATCACACATGCTCATATTACACACACAAACAAGTGCATTCTTAATGTATGTATGTATGCCACTCATGTTCAAGGATACTTGTCTACTAGGGCAGCTAGCCAATCCCTATTGCAGACACTTGCTCAGGCACATTTGTATTTATTCAACACCCACAGAGCCCACCTGTGGTTTATACTGCAACTATGTTGAGCAGACCTTAGTTATAGTTTCTGGGAAAGAGCGTATTATCTAGCGTGATCAACAATTTGAACAAGGCCAGCACATTCAAGCCCTCAGCCACGATGACTTGTGACTTCATGCTAGATCAGCTATCAACAGCACCCAAGAGTTCTGTCTACCCAATTTCCCTCACAAGGCTTGGGTAAACCCATGGTATGGTTTTCAGACACTTTCCAAAGGTGCCACATGCTGGGATCAACCCCCTCCAGTCCACTAACGTCAGGAAATCTCCTTCCTGACAAATTGACCGTTCTGAGATTTAAACACGGGTCCCATTGTCAGAATGCAAATATTCTAACCACTCGGCATTTTCCCATTCTTAATAGCTAAGTTTTTATCTTTTTCTTTCAACTGTAATTACTTTAATATAATTTCTTTTTGTTAATACATGCATTAACTGTCTGTTTAAAATCCATGTTTGGTGTTTCTTAATTTACCCAGATTCACAATGAGTCTGCCAAATATTGTCTATGGGACAAATATGCCAGGAACCATTAAATATTTACTGAAAAGCTTCCACACCTTACAACAAAGGAGATGATATCCTGCAATACAACATAGTTTAGAACAGTTGGGTTCACTTTTAAATTTTATCTTTGGAGCTGACTGGTGATTATATTATTTAACATTTAAAGTTAGCTTGACTTTGATTTCTACTAATCCCTAATCAGCAGGAGTTATGTGTTAAATGAGAATGCTAACAATTTAGAAAAAAAATACTTTTTGCAATAAAGTATGGAAAGACTCATGATGAAAGAAAAAAAAAAAGATTAATGTTTTCCTTAAATAATTGTAGCTGTGAAATAATGAAACAAATATTTTGTCAAAAAAATTATTTCTGTATAACAATTTTTTTTTTTTTTTTTTTTTTTTACAAAATAAAGGTACCATTATTTAACACAATAATTAGTAATATTTTGTTTACATATTTCAATATTGATTCAGTTTCCTTTCCAGTATTTTTGACATGCACAGACATACAAATTAGATCATTACTCTTAAAGTGAATGCAACTGCAGACAGCACACAATTAACTTTTTTCACTTGGAAATCATACTTATTATAAAACCCAGGTTGTGTGTGTGTGTGTGTTTGTGTGTGTGTGTGTGTGTGTGTGTGTGTGTGTGTGTGTGTGTGTGTACACGTTTATATATTGGATCGGATTTCCTACATTTTTCAACTGATTTCAACAAAACTTCACAGGACTACGTAAAATACCTTGCGGTGGTTCTGGCAGCGCCAAAAATTGAAAAAACACAATTGTTTTTGCATGAAATCAATTTGAAGACACGATTAAGAGGCATCGCTGTCAAGAATGAAAGGGGGACAACTCATATCGAGTGATACTTATTATAAAACCCAGGTTGTTTGTGTGTGTGTGTATGTGTTCCTTTATATATGGGATCAGATTTCCTACATTTTTCAACCGATTTCAACAAAACTTCACTTTTTTTTTTGGTAGGTAGTATTTCTTATTGTCTTGCACACTTTTTTCTTTACATTCAGAATGCTTTAAAAATTCCATTTACAAGACAATTGTTTATAATAAAATTCTATTCAATCAGTAGACTCATAACGATTGAAAACAATGTTTTTGTTTGAGTTTGGGTTTGACCAAATCGTAAAAAAAAAAAAACTAATTAAGACATGCGTGTCCGTCAACCTTAAACTTTGTCAATTTTATTTTTCAGTCTTTATGATGGTCAATATTTGATCTATCTCTTACTGTTACATCCCCGGGCAACGTCGGGCTCTACTGCTAGTTACTATCAAAATGCTGTAATAAAAATCTTGCTACAATGTTCCATTTTTGCCACAGTAACAAACAAACCCATCCATAAACAGAATATTTCCAAACAGAAATTAGATCAAATCAGAGAAAAGTTTATAAAATTAACAAATGATAGATTTAAAACTTACAAGTAAATTAATTCAATTCCCTCATTTCTTTTTGGCAAATTCATTGACCATTTTGTTGGAGAAAGTATCTCCACACCTAATTCCACTGTTTTCTTACTTCTTTTCTCATTCACCCAGCCTTAAACTATCACCCCCCCCCCTTTCAATCAATTCTTCCACATTCTCCATGTCCGTGTATAGAACCGGTATGGAAGTGATATACAGAAGCATTCTCTGCTTACACTATTCTACTAATGTAGCTTGTTCATGATTTATACTAAGGAATGAAGAACCCTTCACCACTGAATATGAGCCTTCACTAAAATATGACAAACTCCTCAACCATTAATAATTCTTTCTAAATAAACAAATATACTCTTGCACCAAATTTTGTGTAATCAAAATACGAGAGGAGGATTTTAAAAAAGTTTTTCAAGTTCCTTAGGCTTATTAATTGAAAGTAAAAAAAAAAATTTTTTAGTATTAACTTTTTTAAACAACATATTTACAATTTTGTTTCCCTATTTTCCATCATTTTTCAAACAATTTTATAATTATATCCTAATATAAATTTTCTTTATTTTTCTCAGCAAAGTGTTGCCCCAAATGTCTTTTGCATTCTTTCAAGGATTTTTTAATTTTTTTTATTAGGAAAATTTTGTAAAGACTAGAATAAATATGTAATCTGAAGTTGAAATATCAGATAAAAATGGCAAATAAATAAAAGCTTAACCAGTCGGGCTGTAACTATGTCCACGTCATCAACAAGAAACATGGAAACCAGTTTTATTCCAGTGGAATATTAAATTTTTCACATTAAATAATTCCAGACCATTTTCATTGATTACTGCCTTCAGTTGGTCAGGATTGAGAGCAGAAATTGTTCTTTCCCTCCACCTTTCATTCTCTTCCTTTCCTTCTTTTTAATTCCCTTCCTCTCTCATGCATTCTCTTCTTTTTTCTTACAATCTCTCATTTGTTCTCTTCCTTCCCTTCTTTTTCATTCCCTCCCTCATTCATTCTCTCCCTATCCCTTTAATTCCTTGACGTCCTCATTTATTCTCTTCCTTCCCTTCTTTTTCATTCCCTCCTCTGTTCATTCTCTTCTTTCGCCTTTAGCTCTTTCCCTCCCTCATTGTCTTTCTTCCCCTCTTTTTCATTGCCTTCCATATTCATTCTTTTTCCTTCCCTCCTTCTTTCCCATTAATTTTCTCACTCCTTTATTAATTCTTACATTCTTTTTTATTTCCTTCCCCCATTCATTCTCTTCCTTCTCTTCTTCAGTGCCTACCTCATTTGTTCTCTTTCCCCTCCCTATTTTGTTCTCTTCCTTTCCTTCTTTATTCTCTCTACTTTCATTCATTCTTCCTTTACTACTTTACCTTCTCTCTTTTGTTCATTACCTTCCTTTTCTTCTCTGTTCATTTTCCTACTTCCTACCCTCCTTCATTCATTTTTTCCTTCCTTTTCGTTTTTCCTACCTTTCTACATTCAGTTTTGTTCTTTCTTACATTACTCCTCTCTTTCATTTATCTATCCCTCTTCCTTGCCTCCCCCATCTCAATTATCATATCCTCTTCATTCATTTTTGTTCTCTCCATTTTCTTTTCCACTAGTCTTTCCTTCCTGCCTTCCTTTATTGTTTCTTTTCTTTCCTCGCTGTTCTTTTTGACTTTATTTTTCCCTACCCTCACATTTCTTGAAGTCCTTTTTCTGCCAGTCTTAAATTAAGCAGAAACAGTTCTTATCTACCCTGAATAAACCCACATTTCCTCGTATGAAAAACAAAACTATAATTTATAACAGCAAAACAAAAAGGAATAAATTAAGACTCTACAAAAAAAGCAGAACAAATAACATTCAACAAAATCCAGGCAACTTTTCTTGCTTGAAGTGTTTGTCAACATGGTAATGTTTATGATGTCTGAAACTTAATACTTACCTACAACAAAAATCCACAGCTGTTGGAAACTAAAGATATCACAGCATCCAGGCATCTGGGGGTTGGAAGGGCAAAATCTTGGAGGAGAGAAAGGCCTGCAAGAGAAAAAAAATGTTAATATAATTTTATTCATATATATATATATATAAAGGTTTTTAAGTATAGCAAATTGGCAAAGGAATTTTACCAAATTTTTTTATTGCTCAAGAATATGAATATGGTTTATCACCTTTTAGATAATGGCTGAATTGTAATTCCCAATTGAAACTGAAGGCAGGTATTTAATAGATTCTAAGGAGAGGAATAATCAAATCCCTAGACATATGCACACATCCCCCCTCCTAAAAAAAAAAATAAAAAAAATAATATATATATATATATATATATATATATATATCATTTCACCCCAAGCAAGGCAATAAAGCCACTAAGATGCACAAGATTGTTGAGTATGAAAGAATCTGAGAAAAATCAATATTAAGGCAAGAGAGAAATAAAAGAAAAGAATTGAAGGAGGCAGAAGATAATGATTTACAAGATTAAATTTGATTGAAAAAGCAAGAAGCCAAAAGAGAGTTTCACAGGTGAAAAGTGTGAGAAAAAAAAACTTAGCATAGAACTTACAGTTACATCTAGCCCTTTTAATTGTAAAATGATGAGACCTTGCTGCCTATCTAAAACTGCACTTAAATTTGTAAAGTCAAGGTACCAAAGAAAAAAGTTCATCAAAACAATTACCATGAAAATATTTATAGAAAAATTACATGGAAGCTATGTTACAATGGTGGGGAAGTGAAGCCAAGATGTCAGGTGGGGACCAATAACATTGCATATTCTTTGGATTTTGTCATTCTTTATAACATTCAAGATGAAAATAAAGTTTAAATAAATCAGCATATAATAATTCAATTATCACTTCACACTAACTTCCTCTTAATCTTTCTACCTTAGGCTTGATCAAGCTTCAAGACATCAAACTCTCTGCTTTCAGGCAGAGAGGAACCCAGATGAGACTATACAGAAGGGCAAAGTCTCTAGACAAACCCAACCCCGTGTATGCAGGGTCTATGAGGAATTTTTGCCCAAGCATACAGGCTTGGATCTCCCCACATAAAAAATCAGCCTTGTGCCACATCCTGCCTCATGGGGAGGTTGGGTAAATACCAACTTCCTTTCAAGCTGACCAATATCTTATTAACTTAGAAATATAATTTTCTCTTCAAGTCTAATTATGTAGCAGAAACAATGAAACTTTTGTTTCCAAAATTCTGTTGACTAAATAATTTTTCTATACTGTTTCAGCTTTTGTTCCCACTTACTCGACACCATTTTATTATCTACCGAGATTGAATAATAATAGTACTGAAGTATTGGCTAACTAAAAAGAATCTTGTTTTTCTTGTTGAAAGGTGTCTGAAGCATTTAGTTTTCACTAACTTTATTCATAAATGTCACTTTTGATTGCATTATGACAGCTGTCATATCAGTGGGCATTTAAAAAAGAAAGAAATTCTATTGAAATCACTGTATTTTCATTTACTGATACTAACACTAAAGATGGAAAAAAATTTTTTTTTTTTTAAAGAAGCCAAAAGTGAATCTGCAAAACAAATCTATTCAGTTTATGGAGAAGGTGCCGTAACTAATCAAACATGTCAAAAATGGATTGTGAAATTTCATGCTGTAAATTTCTTGCAAAACATTGGTCAGATTGAAAAATTAAGGTTGATAGCAAACAGAAGACATTAAGAAAAAATAATGTTATACAACCTAACAAATGACCAATCTGCACAAAATATTGAACTGAAGCAGTGAAAAATAATTTGCACCAAATATAATTTTAACATATGCTATATTTATGAGTTAAAGTGCTCAATATCAGGGAGTGAGCTTATGTAAATATAAAAGTGGATATTGAGGTCAACACCCAGTTTATTTCATGTTAAAATGCAATCTTCAAGTTATGGGTGTTGTGTTTTGGCATAACTATTTATATATGCTGGTCAATTATGCATTATTGGTAGTTGTTGTATTAATCTAATGATTATTGGTTTGATGGTAAATGCTATGTTTCAAATTATTTTAGGGGCTTTTGAGTAGCAATAATTGTAGATCCAAATTCATTCTGTGGGTATTTAATAGTGTTGTTTCTTAACTTTTTTACTCATTATTTATTATTGATTACTTTATTGTTATTGATTGTTATTTCATTTGTGTTTATGTATTCATTAGTAGTTTGTTAACTTGTTTATTATTTGCTTAATATGTTTACTTAATTTTTGAATTAGGTTGTTTTATTTTGCTTATTTTTATTTATTTTTTTTATCTCATTTTCTTTTTTATTTTTATTAATTTTTAATTTTTAAGTAATGTAGTAAAAATTTGTTTTTGTGTCTGCATTTTGAGATGCATTGTATGTGTGTGTAAGAGATTATCTTTTAAAAGAGCTCTTTTTTTCAGAGAAAGAGAATACATCTGCTCCCTATCAGACATTTGAAGTATGTATATGCATGCATATATATATTTCTACAGGTTAACTCTGAGAAAATTTTCATATAAGCACAGTGGAGTAATGGATTGCAACTTGGATTGAGGAATTGGAGAGTCAAGATCGAATTCCAGTTAAATTCATTACATTCACTTATGTACTAATAGACTTGGGAAAGGTATGAATCCATCTCTTCTCCCCCCCAGGTATGGGTAAATAGCAAGACAGACTAGGTTCTATAGCCTTGGGTGGCAGCTGATCTAGAAGAAGGAAAAACTCTGAATTCAAACCAGCCTCACTGTTATACAATATGTGGATTTGTATGCAAGTCACTAGAGGGACTGAATGAGGTCTGTTGGATTCTCATAAATTGAAATCAGCAGGAGAGTCCATCATGAAAAACAAATCTTGACTTCATCATAGAATGAGATATGGAGAAAAAGAAAAAAGAAATTCTGCTATTTTTACTTTTGTATTGTTTGATTCTCATTGGTTAATCAGGTTTCATATGTATTCAACTTGTTAAACAGAATAATTTATGGTGCTCCAAATTCAAGTAGAGACAACACAGCCAACCAAAGTTCCAAGAAATTAATGTGTGTGTGTGTGTGTGTGTGTGTGTGTGATTAGGCAGCTATTGTCCTTTTAAACAAATCATATTAAAAAGGATAGACATTCTACATTTATTGAATTAATCCATAGTCTTTTCTAAATTCTGAATCACCTTCAGCAAACCTGACTGCTGCAGATGCAAAAATGATATCTGAAATAAAGGCTGTGTCCAAGCTTTCAACTCACATGAGTCAGCTTCAGGGATGTGTACAAGAAAAGTAAGGTGAAGAAAATCCAAAGTTTTAAGTGGTATATTTTAAAGTGTCATTATATTTTTTTAAATTAAATTAGATAAATCCAAATGCAGGAAGTCTTTTCAGCTACACGCTATCAATCATTTATGCAGATTTATGTAAACGTCATCTGAACAAAGTACAACACATTAATGAGCATTACAAAAATTATACAGTAGAATCCCTCATATCCGGAGTGCCTCATATCCAGAATCTCGCACATCCGGAAATGATTTTGATGTGTATATTTGAACTGTTTGGGTGATATGCAACCGATTTAAAATTTCTGTTTTACAGGAAATTTACTTTGTAATATTGCTTATGCTTATTTCACCCTAATGGCTTGTATTGGTACCAAAGATGATGAGAATAAGAGAAGAAGAGCAACTCTGGAGTTATTGCAAAAAGTGGAAATTTTAAACAGACTAGAAGCTGGTGAAAGTTCATTGTAACTAATGGGTGAGTTCAACATAGGAAAGTCAACATTGTATGATATAAAAAAACTTCCAAAGAAACTATTCTCCAGCATTCACACTGTCACAATGAACAAGGAAATAAAAATATGATTGTAATGAAACCTGAACTGAAATTGAAAAGGCTATTGAAAAGGTTGTCAGTTTTATGGAAAGAAAGCCAGCATTCAGCTATGACGATTGCAATAATGCATGCAGAGTTAAAGTGTCTTTCATTTAAAAAATTTAAAAAGCAAAACAAAATGCAGAAAAATTTGAGAATGACATTAGAAGAAAAAGAATCATCATGCAATAGCGATTTAAAAAAAAAAAAAAAAAAAATCTATGTTACATTATTTTTTTTGCATACATGGCATACTTAATTTAATGAATTTTCATTAACATTACATAATTTATTTCTTTTTCCTTAAAATCAATTCCATTATATTTCACTCACCATTAGCTTATTTTGTTTACTGTAAAACATTGAAAATAAATGTTAAACCTGATTTCAGTTCTTTAATTTTAATCTAAATATAAACCTCTCATATCTGGACTTTGTAACCAATTCCTCATATCCAGAAAGCCTTCTTAATCCGGTTATCAGAAATTCTACTGTAGTAAAATTAGACAGCTACTTACAAATAACAAAAAAATAATCCATAAATCAAATAGTCAAAAAAAAAAACTAAAGATTATTGAAGCTTTGTACATCCAAAAAAAACAACTAAACATTAATAAAAATAATTATAGACTCCAACTTGCAATATGTATAAAAAAAAAATCATTATACTTAACTAATACATGTTACCATAATATGGAGCCCAAAAGATTTCCTCCTTTTTTTCTATCTGAATATCTCTGATCAGGAATTATCATTAATTACATT